TTGTGTTTTAAGCTGTTATTATAAAAGTGTAAAAAGTTGTAAATAATTAAAAATCTGTAAAGCTACAGTAAGCTAAGGTAAATTTATTGTTGAAGAGATAATTTTTTAAAAATAAATTTAGTATAATCCAAATATATGTTGTTTATAAAATATATGGTAGTGCACAGTAGTATCCTTGACCTTCACATTGCATTCACCAAGCTCCATTCATGGTAGTACCCTATACAGGGGTATCTTTTTAAAAATTTTTTAAATTTTTGACTATTTTTGGTTTTTAAGGAGTGGAAAATTTAATAGACAAGAAAGAAGAAAGAAGAAAATGGCTTCCCCGTACAGAGTGAGGGGGACTCCGAATGGACAAACCCCCATTTTAAAAATCTTTTATACCATATTTTCACTGTACCTCTTCTACGTTTAGATACAAAAATACCATTGTGTTACAATTGCCTACAGTATTCAGTACAGTAACATGCTGTACAGGCTTCTGGTCTAGAAGCAACAACCTATATACCACATAGCCTAGGTATGTAGTAGGCTATAACCTCTAGGTTTGTGTAAATACATTCTATGATGTCTGCATGACAAACTTATCTAACAACACATTTCTCAGAAACTGTTCATCATTAAGTGGCACAAGATTGTCATTGCCCACTATAAAATATTTTCCTCTTTAGCTGTTTAGTAGACCTGTGTATAATCTTTGCAATATTACTATTTTAAAAGGTATTTTGAGATTTTTAAAAGAAGTGTAAAATATCAAATAGGTTTAAAATACTTTTAGCCTCTAAATAAATGTTATACTGTGTCAAACTATTTGGGCCACCAAAAGGTAAAAATAGAAAGAAATTTGTAAGTACCTTGATTTTTTTCTTCCCAACATTTTCAAATCTCTCTGGGACCATTTAAAATAATTACTATTTCAAGATCTCAAATTTCAGCATTTCTTTCTTATATTATATTTTCATTTAATAACTGCTCTGCTAATGTCTTCGCTTGTCATCTTGCGTCGTACCCAAGATTAAAGTATTGCATGTATGTATATACTGACTGCTCTATCACGTATTTTGTTATAAAAAGGCATTTCAATAGAATATTTAGAAACATTCTTAAGGTGTTTGTAAATTTAAACTGCTTTCTGATCACAGCTGCCAGACTGAGACACTTTCAAAAGTAAGTTATTTATCTATAATTTAAGTTTCAAATAGAAGCAGTCTCAGTTTTTAGCATTTTATAGTTATCAATATCATTATGAAATATTTTTAAAACATATTCTAGAAATAAGCAAGTTTTCAGCTTATGGAAATTATAACTTAAAGCATGACAAACAAGTAAGTACAGAACAATATAAGGAATTACTAAGATGAGGAAGGGATGTTCCCAGAAGGAGAAAGCAATGGAAAGGCATCAAGTGAGGATATGAAAAAGATTTGCTAAGCTAGTTGCCACTCCTCTTTCAGGTGAAAATGTCGTCTGAGTTTCATCAAGAAGAGCTGAGTCTCCCATATCAATAGTTGATCATTTTCCCTTATTCTTTGACCCAGGAAAGCAAATGAAAGCTGACTGGAAATGAAAAGGCACAGGTTCTAATGTTAAGTTCAGCTTACTTGGTAGAGGCCCCTAACTAAACTGTCTCTCATTATTTTTTCATCACTGAAAAACAGATGAGACTAGTGGAATTATATAGTTTTATAGTTTTAGCACATTACTACCACAATTAGTGTTAAATGAGTCAAACAAAAGGAAAACTTAGCCAAAATTAAATGAAGCCACTTTGAGATGAATCATGGCTTTCCATTTCCAATTAACCTAAGGCACTGCAAAATAACCAGATAATATTATCAGCACACAGCTCGTTCACCTGTTGTTCTAAAGTCCAGATTAAGCAAATCAAAAAAGTCCCCAGGCTCTTAGTTCAGGTTGCTTTAGATTTAACAACAAAGAAGAGTTTCAAATTTCAAGATGCTAAAGAAAGTGATATAATGAATGGCTGACTATGAGATTGGGGAAAAGAAAAGGCTTGTTCTGATGAGTAACTATTTCCACCCTTTGTGTTTAATTTGTGTTGTAAATGTTGACATTTTATAATCTTTTATTTATTTATTTATATTTATTTATTTGTTTTACTGTTTCAAGCTAGGAGTAGGACTTCAGCATTCTATAATCTTTTACCTAAAGTTTTGTTCCAAAGTTGTGATAAAGACCAAAAAAAGATAAAGTCACATAAGTATGTAAAAAAAGGGAGGGTGACAAAAGATAAAAATATAGTCAATTTGAAAGGCAGTATTTCATCCACGTGTTAATAACGGTATGAGTTCAGGACTTAGGAAGAAAGATAACTAAATGGTGAGGTTCTGTGCCAAATGCTGCAGAATACACAGACACAGTAACGATGAAGTGCAGAACTGAGATTTGGATACAGAGAATTCTCAATCTTTTTCTCAGCGTAGTATCAGGTGTCTACCAGCTTGGGGATGCCCTCCCCTTCACCACTCATGTAGACACACACAAAGGAATACTTGGAAACAGAGCAGGGCTTCCAGTATCTCATAAATACAATGACAGATTTCCCAAGAATTATACTCTGGGTTAGAGGAAACCAAGGATAGAAAATGTTCTTAAAAGGAAAATCCATAAAGAGATATCTGACCCTAACCTCAACTACCAGAGCTACAGAGAAGAGAAACAAAGACTTTGTTATAAAGAAGACATTAAAACAAACACATGTACAACATTGATAAGCATTTTACTCAAAGGGAGAAAAGAACGGGAAGGGCTGAAAGTCTCCACACAAGCCAATCTTTTTGATGAAAATATATTTCCTTTTTTCTTCTGGTCTCCTCTATAAGACAGTGCACAAAGTGCTCATTTATATTTTCTTTGTTTTCATCCCAAAGCTAGAAGATCAAAGAGTTAATAAAACCTCCTAGCTATAGAAGGTCATTACAAAACTAAATGCAGCAATTCAAAGTGGAAAATAGAATGAATGCCAAGGAGATGTTTAACAAAGTAACATTCTAGATGTATTCTTTGAAGAACATTTGCAGACTCGTTTGATTGCTTTAGAGCGCACAGGGAACAATGCAGCTGCATGGAGCTAACATTGACTGATGGTTGCATTCTGCCAAACCAAAGCCAGGCGGCTTAGAATCACAAGTGTATTTGATATAGAATTACCTAATATAGTGGAAATATTCATGTGTATTTTGCATAGCAAAATAATATTAAAAACTTCCACCTTTTCCCCCCTTGGGTCTAATTAAATGCCCAAACATAAGACATGAGTCTATTCATTGGAAAAATAATTTGAAGCACTATTTTTCCAAAAACTGACAAAATTGGATGGCAAGATAAGGGATTAGCTTAATGCTTCCCATTAGCTATTGAGATCCTCCTTCTTTTGCTTTTTTCTTCTTTTTTTTTCTTTAGTGCTGACATCCTTATAATGGTAGCAAATACAGAATACAAAAGGGAGGCTTTGGAAATCAACGATATTACCACATTGATTTATTCAAAAGAGACAGGTTGGTACACTGGTCTTGCATTACAGTGTGACATGCTAGACTTTGCCATTCACTGTATACTGTCATCTAAATGCTTGAGTTCCCCCAAAATTCTTATGTTGAAACCTGATCCTCAGTACAATAGTATTGAGAGTTAGGGCCTTTAAGAGGTGATTAGGTCATAAGGGCAGAGACCTCATGAATGGAATTAGCACCCTCATAAAAGAGGCCAAAAGAAGTTTGTTTGTCCCTTCCTCCATGTGAGGACCCACCTAGAAGTCACCATCTACGAAGCAGAAAGCAGGCCCTCAGCAGACATGAAATCTCCTGGTGCTTTGATTTGGACTTCCCAGCCTCTAGAACTGTGAGAAATAAATTTCTACTGTTTATATTTTTGATAGCAGCTCAAATGGACTAAAACACTGTAACCCTGGAGTCTTAGCATTAGGACTGATTAAACAGGTTTCCTCCTGGAGAAGAAACAGCAGAACATCCTAGAACATCAGAAGTGCCCATCCTGTTGGTAGAGCTATGGCTATGTGGCAACATGAAGGCCAAATGATAGATGGTATTTAAGGTCTCCCACTGAGGTCTAATCAAATGATGTTTTTTCTACTATTTGAAAACTTGGGAAAAACTTGCTTTCATGTTGAGGTAAAAGGAGATCTTTCCTAGGGTAATTTGAAGGTGAATTGAAGACTGGCATAGCTAGGTGTTCACATAATGATTTTATTTAGGAGAGTGTAATTTTAAAAAAAAAAAAGCATAGAAATATTTAAATAGCTGAGATTAAGCTTTAATCAATTAAACTTTTTAATTATTTGGGGCAAATAACTAACATTTCACTATCAAATGAATATGTTTTGAAGTACCATTGAAAGTTGTGCTGATGCCAATAAACAGTCTTTTTGCCTCAGTGGTGCATGTCACCTTCCTGCAAGGCAACTAGTTTGCAGATATGGTCAGAGGGAAAATTACTGAACAACAAAATGAAAAGGGGGCATAAGTCAGCCAGCTTTCTCAATCCTAGGAAAGGAAACTTCCCTCCTGCTTATGAAAGAGGACGATTGTGCTCAGTACCACTTAACCAGTGCCAACAATCTGGTAAGCCCTTTATTCAGTGCTACACCAGGGCTACAGAAAGGTGACCTGGAGTTTGGGGCCGAGGTCAGGGAAAGGTCACTGCCTGAAAAATGAAACTAGTCAAAAGAAAAGAATCCTAGGAATGGGTGAGGTTACTTATCCACCAAAGTAATCCAATCTAAAAGATGGCATTTTTTTTTTTTCCTGGTAGTTTAGTGGTCAGGGAAAAAATAAAAGAGAAAGAAAAGGATTTGTTTAAAAAAATATATTCAAAATTCTAAGCCTTTTAAATAATCCTGCTGGCCCTTGCAAGCTTGTCCTAGCATGCTTTGAAGTGTGGCCATAAGAATCAGCATTTTGTCACTAAAATGCCTACAGACTTTCTCTATTTTTTTACTTCTGCTTTTTAGGTTCATCAGTTCCCCTCTCCTCTCACTGGTTTTCCTCTCCATCACCACCACTACAATTTCAAAACTAAAAATCAGATGTTAGGTAGGAAGACACCATTACTCTGTTGTTTGAAACGTGCTCTGAACTAGCTGGTTGACTTTCCCCTTCTCAGCATCTTCTAGGTGCCTTTCTGTAAAGGCAGCGTATCCAACACATGCCAGTATGTGGACCTTGGTTGGTCATGGTATGCCAGGAGTGCCTGTTTTAAATAACCCTTTTTAAGGTTAAAGGAACTTAAATTCTTGGCATATTTATTTGCCCTTTCATAGCTTTTATCTTTGAGATGTAGATGAGTGCTTATAGGGTGCCTGGAATGGAAACATGCTGTAGGATAAAGGAGCATGGGCTCAGGGTTGCATATTTTCAGGCTTCCCCACCTAAAAACAAAACAAAACAAAACAAACAAAATCCATGACATTTCTTTTCCTGGATGGCAAAAATGAAAACATTTCATGAATAAATCCACAAATAAAATGATATCACTTTAAAGATGTGAAAAAACTAGGTGTACTTTGAAAAAGTACATTTTAAATAGGTAGCCAGAAGCAGATATGTGCAACTGAAATGTTTACTATTCATCTGATATCTTTTTCTAAGAAACACAAAAACCATGAAGTTAGAAAGAATTCAATTAACTCTCTTCAGTGTGTAGAAGGATGTAGAAGGAGTTTCAACTTCTTTTTGTTTTATATTTGTTGTCAAGAATTCATACAAGAAAGTCAATTTTATACAAAATAATTTTACAAAATTACTTTTAAGATAGTCAATTTCCATAGATCAACTTCAGTAGGTCATATAATATGTCTTTTAATATGAACTCCTTAGCTTTATTAGTGCATTAAAAATTATTTATCTTGCAAAACAATAAATTAAAAACAGAATTAGAATATATTTGCTTTATGTAGCCACAGTATTAAGTTAAAATAGTATAATGCATGTTATACAAAGAGAAATGTAAATGGGGCCTAAAAGAACATTTTTAAGTCAGTTTCACTTTAAACATTGAATAGAAAAGTTGACTTATCTTAAGTAAAGCAAGTCACTACATCACTCTGCTACAGCAAATGTTTCTTTGTAAATGAGGATGAACTGACAATGCTTGAAAGTATAGTTCATCAGAATCACAAGAAACCAAATATTACGAATGTGTAAAATTCCATGTTTATTTAATATCGGTTACACAGCCAGTTTATTGAAACCAGTCTTTGTAAAGACAAATAACATGTCTGATGAACATAAACAGTATCATACAGTTGAAATTCATCCTGTATTTTCACCTGAATAAAGATGTCATTATGCAAGAATTTCAACAATAAAGACCTTGCCTTGAATTGGCATGGCATCTCTCAGAGCTTCAAGGCAGCACAGTCTTCCATCCAACTCCAGAGATTATCAACTCTACATCAGGGAACTTCAGTGTTTAGCTTGTCCACACTTAGTTACCATGGAACCTTCCTCCAGTATCTGCATTGGCCTCCGGTGTGGTCGGTGACATGGGCACCTTCTCAGAGGACATATCCAGAATCCAAGCTGGGTATTCCAAGGACAAAAAATATGCAGATAATGTAAAAAGGATCATTCCAGTCACAGAGAAGTATGAATGTTATACTGCTTAATAATGATACCAACAAATATTAATTTTATTGTTATAGTTGCCGATATATATTAAAGTTTACTATGTGCCAGGCATAGCACACTAGCTCATAAAATTGACATAAGAACCCTATAACTATTAAAATTATCTCTGCTCCAGAGACCAAGAAACTTGAAAAAGTGATAGAAACAGGGTACCGTTTGCATCATCAAACCCAGCTCAGGTAAGACTAGTAGCTTCCTTCACGCAACATTGTAATGAACTAATAGTTTCTTCAAAGCCACTCACACCTTTTTTTCTGCCCTGCCTTTCTCTCTCTCTTTCAAATTAGTTTTTAAATTGATATATAAAATGTTATATATTTACTGTGTACATCATGATGTTTGGAAGTATATATACATTGTGGAATAGTTAAACTTAGCTAATTAACAAATTTATTACCTCATGTAGTTACCATTTTTGTGGTGAGAACACTTAAAATCTACTCTCTTAGAATTTTTCCAAGATACAATCTATCATCATTAACTATAGTTACCATGCTGTACAATAGACCTCTTGAATTTATTTCTCCTATCTAACTAAAAATATGTATCCTTTAACTAATAACTTCCCCCTACCCTCAACCTCCTAATCACTCATCCTCTGGTAACTATCATTATAATCTTCACATCTTTTCCTTCTTTTTCTTTCTTTTCTTTCTTTTCTTTCTTTTCTTTCTTTCTTTCTTTCTCTTTCTTTCTTTCTTTCTCTTTCTTTCTTTCTTTCTTTCTTTCTTTCTTTCTTTCTTTCTTTCTCTTTCTCTCTTTCTTTCTTTTTTTTTTTTTCAGAGTTTCACTTTTGTTGCCCATGCTGGAGTACAGTGGTATGATCTCATCTCACTGCAAACTTTGCCTTCCGGGCTCAAGCAATTCTCTCACCTCAACCTCCTGAGTAACTGGAATTACAAGTGCCTGCCACCACTCCCAGCTAATTTTCTTTTTTTTTTTGTTTGGTATTTTTAGTAGAGATGGGGTTTCACCACATTGGCCAGGCTGGTCTCAAACTCCTGATTTCAGGTGATCCACCTGCCTTGGCCTCCCAAAGTGTTGGGATTACAAGCATGAGCCACTGCGCCCAGGCTTACACTCTCCACTTCTATGAAATCATCTTTTTTAGATTCCACATGTAACAGATCATGTAGTACTTGTCTGTCTGTCTGTGCCTGGCTTATTTTACTTAACATAATGACCTCCAAGTTAATCCATGTTGTCAGAAATGACAGGATTTCCTTTTTTTTTTTTTAATGACTGAGTAGTACTCCATTGTGTGTGTATATACCACATTTTCTTTATTCATTCCACTGTTGATGGACATTTAGATTGATACCATATATTGGCTATTGTGAATGGTGCTGCAATAAACATGGGAGTGCAGCTGTATTGTCAACACATCAATTTTCTTTTTCTTTGGATGTATATTCAGTAGTGAAATTGCTGGATCATATGGTAGTTCTATTTTGAGGTTTTCAATGAACTTTCTTGTTGATTCTGTAACTGCTGTACTAATTTAAATTACATCAAAAGTATGCAAGGGTTCTCTTGTCTCCACATCCTCACTAACACTTGTTATCTTGGGTTTTTTTGTTTTGTTTTGTTTTGTTTTTTCTTGATAATAGTCACCCTGATAGATGTGAAGTGATATCTTGTGGTTTTTTTTCATTTGTGTTTCCTGTGTGATTAGTGACGTTGAATGTTTTTTTCACAGACAGTACCTGTTGGCCATTTGTATGTCTTCTACTAAAAAATGTCTATTTGGGCCTTTGTCCATTTTTTAATCAGGTTATTTGTTTTCATGCTATTGAGTTGCTTTTATAGAGGCTAACTAAAATTCTTGATATTCTAGAAAGACTTCCTTCTGCCTCTCTGATATTTTTCTTTTTCTTACAATTTTTATATTCCAAACCACAACACAGCTCTCCTTGTAGCCAGGAGTGGCCATGTGATGGATTCTGACCAACGAGATGCAAGCCGAAGTTGCTAATTGGGACTCCTAAAAACACTTTTAAAAAGTGACGGACTCATGATCTCTTCACCCTTCTTCTGCCTGTCTTGAATTGTCCATCCTCAGATTTCTTTTTACACAAAAAAATTATTTTCAGTTAGACTATGTTAATTTGATTTTCTGCTACATGCAGCTGACTGTACTGATTATCTAAAACTGCTTTATAAAGTTTTGTGACTAGGGGGTGGGAGCAATGATCACTAATATTCGTTAAGTGAAAGGATAAATGATTGAATTGTGTATCTTAATTGTGGTATATTCTGTACAACATTTTTACAATAAATTATGCTGAATGAGTTTCTTTCTATTTGATACCAAAGACTAGCACATCTGAAATAACTGTCAGTATTTTTCCTTGCTAAAAGTATACAGATTAAAAAATAAGCCGTTTCATGTGCACTGAAAGAATGGCTATAACTCTTGCCCTGATCAGAGGGTTCCACAAACTAGCGTTGAACTCAGTGGGGGCCCAACAGAGAAGAAAAGGAGGAAATTCAGGAGATAAATTAAGGAATTTTTGGAGATGGTGAGATATTTAAATTGTATAAAGATTTTTCAATTAAATTGAGTAAAACCCACTTTCTAATCTCTCCCTATTAACGATTGAAATCCCATTTCCAACACTTATTGGGTATGTCATCTTAGACAAGGTTGTTTCACCTTCCTGAGGTTACTATATTTTTTAGCCATAAAGTCAATATTTTACAATCTATCTCATAGTATCATTTTTAGGATGAACTAAAACAATGGATGTGAATTGCCTAGTACCGCGCTTGACACATAATATAAAGTTAGCAGACTTTCATGCCCTGTCTGCCTCCCTACTACCCGATTCCCCACGGCTCATCTCCATTGACCGAAGAATGACTTTAAAGACATCAGTCTAATCTCTGAAAGCATTTTTTCTTTTCTTACCTCACAGCCCAGTCACTATACAAAGACATCATTTCACTGGACAGAGATATTAGTGAAAATAATGCCTGCGACCAGGGTGTACGTTTCTTGAAGGCAGTAACCATGACTTAAAATGTCTATGTCCCTTACAGAACTCGAGTTTCTAAATAATTTCCAACTACACTATCTGAAAGGAAAAGAACTTTGAGATATTTAATTTTTAAATAATTTTTATCAATGCAAATGATCCTGTTTTTCAAGGTACAATCTTGTCAGCATTTACCACCAAATAAGCACAATGCTTGAAGACCTATAAAGTAGTTATGAACATAGACAAACCCATATTTTTGATGATAATATGAAGGCATATCAAAAAGAAAAGAATCTCAATATAACTTACAATCGTTTTTTACTATGAACTATTCACTGTGCTAAGCACCTTCATACATTACCAACAATCCTTTCTAAAACTCTGCAAAGTAGGTATTGCTAACTTCATATTATGGAAAGGAAAACCAAAGATACAAGACTTGACTAGCACTAACTGCTAAGTGAATCCAGAGCACTTTAGCCAGAGTATGAATTCAAATTTTTTATGTTCCTATGTTTGAGTTCTTTGTACTTCACACACTGCAGAGCAGAAGACATGAAGATTATTAATTTCTGGGGAAGAAAAGTCAAAAATGTCCATACAGTTTAATAGAAAACAACATTTTGGGATCTTAATTATTCAGATCCATAGCATCAAAATTAATTGTTGTTTATAAAATAAACAATAAAATAACAAATATTTTTAAAGCAACATACAAAGTTCTAATTTAATCTTTACAACTGTTCTGTAAGGTAGATATTATTACCTCTTCATATGAATAGATGTTGAAATTTAGAGAAATAAATGACTTTTCTAGATAACAAACCTTGAACCCACACCCTGGCCTCATGATAGAGTTATTTCCACCACACCACAATATTATACTCCCTGTGTTATTTTACTTGAGTTTCAATGAAAAAAGGATACAGGAATGGATGAAGGGTGTTATGGTTTGGCTCTGTGTCCCCACCCAAATCTCATCTCAAATTGTAATTGCCATGTGTCGACGGAGGGGCCTGGTAGGAGGTGATTGGATCATGGGGATTGTTTTCTCCATGCTGTTTTCATGATAGTGAGTGAGTTCTCACAAGCTCTGATGGTTTAAAAGTGTGGCACCTCCTTCTTTGCTCTCTTTCTCCTGCCATCATGTAAGATATGCCTTGCTTCCCCTTCACCTTCTGCCATGATTGAAAGTTTCCTGAGGCCTCTCCAACCATGCTGAACTGTGAGTCAATTAAATCTCTTCCATTTATAAATTACACAGCTTCAGGTAGTTCTTTATAGCAGTATGAAAACAGACTAATACAGAAAATTGGTACCAGGAGAGAGGCATTGTTATAAAAATAACCTGAAAATGTGAAAGTGACTTTGGAACTGGGTAACAGACAGACATTGGAAGAGCTTAGAGGACTCAGAAGAAGACAGGAAGATGTGCGAAAGTTTGAAACTTCCTAGAGACTTGTTGAATGGTTATGACCAAAATGCTGATAGTGATATGGACATTGAAGTGCAGGTTGAGGTGGTCTCAGATGGAGATGAGGAACTTATTGGGAACTGGAGGAAATGCTACTCTTGCTATGTTTTAGCAAACAGACTGGCAGAATTTCTGCTAAGACAATGGAGAAAATGTCTCCAGGCCATTTCAGAGATCTTCATGGCTTGGGAGGGAAAAATGGTTTCATGGGTTGGGCCCAGGGCCCCACTACTCTGTGCAACATCGAGACATGACACGCTGCATCCCAGCTGCTTCAGTTTCAGCTGTGGCTAAAAGAGACCAACATACAGCTAGGGCCATTGTTTCAGAGGGTGCAAGTCCCAAGCCTTGGTGTCTTCCACATGGTGTTGGACCTGTGTGTGTGCAAAAGATAAGAATTGAGCTTTGGAAGCCTCTGCCTTGATTTCAGACGTTGT